GGATTTAGTTTATATTCATTGAGTAATTTTTAAATTTGATACAAATTTAACATTGAAAACTAAAAGTTAGATTTTGATGTCATTACTCATTTACCATTTAATTTACCAGTAACAACTAACCCCGAGATAGTATTACAACCAACCCTGATGGTTTTCATAAATTAAAAATTTTTTTTTAGAAATCTAAAAAATGAATTTTGACCTCATATTATGTTCAGGTATTTCAATTTTTTTTTATAAGTTGTTCTCAATATTGTATTTAGAATATAAAATACATTTGACAAACGCCACTATAGATAAAAAAAACAACTGTGCTAGAAATACAAAATTAAACTGTGAAATCTATTACTTCTAAGTTCTAGCCTTGGTCTCCCCTATATGGGATATGGCTCAATATATTATTATTGTTGAGACGTATAAATAATAATATGCATAACACCCATGGGTAAATGGGTAATATACTGTATAATATTAATTATATTATATTCTTGTATTGTTGGCTGCCGTATCTACGTTTAGGTAGGTACAGGTGGTTCGTTAACACGTTTACAGGCACTTGATCTGGTTATAAAAGTTTAAGGAGAGAGATTTGACCCAATATCACACTCCGCTAAAACTGTTCAACATATACAAATATATATAATATAAAACAGCCTTAAAGAGCATGCTTAAGATATTTGTTCGATATTTTGCGGTGTATGCCAAATACTATGTATGAGTATACCACACGTCTATAGTAGTACACGTCCCTCGTTTTTTATAGCACTGCTCAGAAATATTATTATGTATTATTATCGTTTTATGGTGTGTTATACTGCAGTTGATTCAAAAACCAAGTAAAACAATAACTAGGCATTATAATAATTGTATCCCAGAGTATAATATACATAGTAACCAGAGCACAAAATTGTCAATAAATATACCTACCGACTGTAAAGTGTAACGTAAAATCGAGTCATAAAAAAAAAGCTAATCTGTAACATTATAGAAATTATTTTTCATAAGTTATGAAATTATGAGTTATGAATCATTATAATAAATGTAGAACTATTTATACAGCAATAAACCATGATTTGTATTATATGAATAATATCAGCGCCATTACTTACAATCTAACAAATTTTGTTGGGAACTGATTTAAAAATAAAGCATAATGAATATATATCTAAATCATTTATTTTTCAGAATACAAATTATTTGGTACTTCCTTAAGATCATACATTTTTAAATTTTAATCTACCGATACTATAAAATATAAATTCCTAAATTAATCAAACTAAAAAATCCATATTTTTAATCTGATAAACATGTAGGTATTGACCTTAAATTACATTTTATTATGTATTTTATAATTTAAAATTAGTTATAATTTATAATATTTATTTTTGATAGTAATTTACCACGTAAAATTTTTAGTAGGTAGTTCCGTTTTAATAAATTAATATAGGTACCTACCTATATGTACTTGATACAGGCATCACACGTGACGTGTGAATTTAAAGTAAGTATATTATTATGAATAATATTTCCATTTTAAAAGTTGTGATAATCATTTATGTTTGATTTACTTAGTTTGTCTATATTCAATACAATGACTGGTATAATGTATAGAGATAATTTAGATTAGCAAATCATGTACCCTATTAGCCATAAGGGAGATAATATAATAAATTGGGTGTATTTTATAGATTGCAAAGCATAAGTGGGTATACATTATACAATTTATTCAATTGAGGTAATGAATATGTTAAAGTATGCTGTATGCCTGTATGCCATTGGGTTATTTGTAATCGACAACTATGACAACTTTAGTACTTATATAACTATGGCGTCTATATATTATGTCCATTTGTCTTTAGCTGTATATTAAAAATGTACAATTTACTTTTTAAACGGAACCGGCAGTATTGGCACAATATTTCATAACAGGAAAATGGTCTGTTTTTTACGAGTTTCAAGAATAAACTCGAATAAAAACTATAATTTAATGGTTAACACGTTACATGCTCAACATATTATTCCATTTAAAGGAAAACTATGTAGTATGTACTATTCTTTTTATGCGTTTTTAGTAGTATAAAAAATTGTGACACTTTGGCTACACTACCTGAACTCTGAAACATTAAACAAAAATATTTGTGAACGAAATAGCCTACAGTTAAGGGTTAACCAAAAAATAAAAATGCAGCATATACGGTTTTTTACCTATTAATATTAATTGTTTCCTATTATTTTTATAAATAATTTATCAATATAACTGAAACTGTAAAAATATTTTTTTTAAATTTCTTATTTGTTTAAACTCTTTGCTTGATGCGTATTATACACAGTGGCGTATCTACGGGGGGGGATATGGGGGTCATATCCCCCCCCCCGGGAAGGTTATTTTAATTTTTTTAATTTTATTAAAACAATTATTTGATAGTTGTATGAAGATTGAACAGCTCACCTAAAACCTAACCTATGAACGAAAATGAATGGTATTAAATTCAATAATATCATACAACCAGTGGCATCATTTCGTTTTTCAATAGAGGGGGCAAAGGTTTTGACCAGCCCGATGAATGGGTAAAAAAAAACTGCTCACAACTACATATTATCTGCTTAAATTTGTTTATGGTACCCTTTTTATTAACTAGGTAACATAATTTTTAAATATAAGGTAGCAGACATTTAAAAAAAACAATTGTATACATATATCAGTTAAATGTCTGCAAACTATTATACGGCTATATTTATATTGATAAACGAAAATATTAGTAGTTTATTAGGATATCTTCTTTTTTTTGAAAATATATCAACTGCATTATCTATAAATCAATTTTACCTGATTCCTCACTTATTGTCCATACTCTATTACTCTTATATTGGTTATATTTACAAATTAATATTATCTTAAATAAAAATATATTTTTTTTTATTGCTTAGTTATCACCTCAAGTTTTATCTGTTTATTAAACATACCGGAAATTATTTTCGATTCTTGAGCAGTTTGCGTTAATTTAATATTTTTAGCCACACAACCCATTTATTTTTTGTCAACCCAGTCATATTTTGATCAAATTAAAAGATTAATGTAAACACGCGTCACGAAAAAAATACATTTTAATTTAGGTAGAATAAGGTACTCAACTTAAATATTAACACAATACCCAGAATAGTTGAATCATACACGACTGTTGTAAGTTAACTGAAGTCCGTGATCAATGATAATTAATAAAAGTTCCAATCGGTTGTTGTTTTTAGAGTTTGTATTAGGTAGTTTTAGATTTTAGAAATTAAACTATACTAGATTATGATACCTACTAATTATTATTATTATTTTTACACATTACAAAATTTTTATATCCCCCCCCTTGAAAAAATCCTAGATACGCTACTGATTATACATACAAAGATAATATACCTAAATATATTATTCAGTGTTTTATAATAATTATAAAACATTGAATACTGACACATTGTCATGGCAACCAAAATAAAATTAATAGTAATAATTTAAAAATAAAACCATTTACAATCATAAGTTATAATATAAGTATTGAAATACATATAAAAAGCATTTAAGGTAAAATATCCTTGAGGTTGTCCAAAGAATTCAAGGGTAACGAGTTTTATAATATGATACCTATGTACTTTTAACTTTTAAACCTGTTTTAATTCAATTTTTTTTTATAAATTAGATATTTAGATCTATAAACACTTCAATGATGATTAAAAATAATATATTGAATGATAGAACTATACAAGTAATCTCTTGAAATTTAAATTGCGCTTTATCGTAAATCAAATTTTTTACTAAAAAAATTAATACTTTTGGTGGGGCAGAAATCAGGTCACCTCGCCCCCCTCCATACACTATTTTTCTTTGATAACGCTATAACAGGAAAACCAAATTCATATAAACTATATAATATACTAATATAGATGAAGAAAATTTTCAAAAATCCAAGTATAGGTGGGAATGGGATGATGTACATATAGTGTAGAACATTTAAATGATTTATAAACATAACATAATAATAAATTTGTACCAGTAAATATGAATTTCTCAATTTTATTCTCACGTGAGTACATAACTGAACACGTTTCAGGCCTTTCAGCTGTAGAAGTGCATTGTCCAAGCATGCAAAAGTTACTTGCTGGTTCGGGCCAAAATAATATGTATTATAATCATTATTGTAAGATATAGAACTGATGTGATGGTAATTCTGCTTCGAAGGTGGTTCTGAGACGATCTTAGGCGAGCCGCACCGCGATGTACAGAGCCAGGAACAGCCTTACTATAGGAATTCTCACGACACGTCTATATATGAACCAATAGTCCGGTTTAACACTGTAAGGGCCCGTCTTTATGCAACCAATCCCATCCCGAACATTGTTTAATACATTATTTTGAAGTTTTGTACAAATGTCATCATTGGTTGGCTTCAAAAATGTGTAGCACATTTTTATGTTGCAAATTTTGTATTTAACCGATTTCAATAAAAAAAAAAGCCGTCAAGTAGGCAACCGCTCTGCTGTACAACATAGGTATCGAGTGTGTACTTCAGTAGGTCGTTGTAATAATAGATAATATATTAAATTAGAATTCAATATGAATAAATAAATTACTGTATACTATGAAAACGATTCCGAGCAGAGACAGTATATAGACGGTAGACGGTACCTAGGTATTATCAAAAAATCTATAAGTATTATTTTCCGGTTATTTAAAAAAATACTTAGAAAATTCTTCTATTGACCCACCGAAGTACAAACTAGATAAAATTTGCTAACGGAAACCTCTCTCGGAATTGATGATCGAAGCACATTTTCTACTAGAAAAAGTGACTTCAGGCATAAAAATTAAAAATAAGGAAACACACCATTGAATGGATAAAATCAATAAATCAATGAAATATATAGGAACAGAGTTCAATTAGTTTGTTAGCTTGGAAACTAGTCTTTGAAATAATCGATTCGGCTCGGCCGTTTTCTTATGTCTTGCAGGTGCAATAATGCTTTTGTGTCTGTTGCCGGTGACGTTGACGTTGGCCGCGTTGGTCACCGAAGGGACGGGCGACACGGCCGCCGCGGACAAGCGGTTCGCCCTGCGGCCTGTTGACCCGCTGACTAGGCGCAGCGCCATGGACAAGAATTTCATGCGGTTCGGGCGGGCGTTCGACTGCAGTTGGACGGTGCCATCTGCATCGGCGGTGGCCAAGCGCCGGGATCCGTCGTCGGCCGTCGGCCGCCGCGTCGACTCCAACTTTATCCGGTTCGGACGCCGGGACTCCAACTTCATCCGGTTCGGCCGTGGCGAAGTGTACACACCCGGCGACAACAAAATACCCAGGCGCCACTACGACGTGGACGTGGACGGGCTGGAAGTCCGGTTCGGCCGATCCGCCGGGAGCATCGACCGCAGTCCGTTCGCCGCAGCGCTACCACCGCCGTACGACGATCGCCGCTGAACGACATGATATCATAATATTATTATATAATAATACCTAATACATAATATTAAATACTATTACACTATACCTACTTACTATATTTAAAGTATTACTAAAAAAATTAATACGTAATGACATATATATTGACATATTGTATAATGTTCTGTACAATTTTCCGTCAAATACACATAGCTGCATAGCATATTGCATATACCTACCTATATCAACACTGAAGGCGCAGGTACATATTTATTGTCTCAAAAACAGCAAATATATAAAAAAATTAAAATATTTTCGCTTTTATTAAACTTTTTAAAAGTAAGCTGAATACTTGAGATCGTTAAATTTAAAGTGTGTGTTACTATATTTCTAGTTCAAAAGTTGATAGAAAAGTGAACACTTATACATGGGTTTACCGATTAAAATACAAATTAAGGAATACAAGTCGTTAGAATTGTACCTACAAAATATGTAGGCATAATTCTAAATGATGTATATATTATATACATATTTATCAGGGACGGAAAACGTTTTTAAAAAACGTTATTAAACGGAAAAAAACAAAAAAACGAAAACAAAAACAAAAACAAAAAAAAAACTGAAAAACGATAACAAAAAATCCCAAAAACCGAAAACAATAACGAAATCAAAAACGAAAACTAAAATAAATTATAGTATTATACATTATTATATTTATACCACGAAAAAAAAATTTTTTTTTAAGTAAGTCTTTACTTTTTAATCTTTACCAATAATGCACTTTTAAAATTTAAAAACATTTTAATTTGAAATCAAATATTTTTTATTTTTTATTTTTATGTAAATTATAATTTTGATTGAAGATTTAAATATTAAGAATAATTAATTTTAATTTTTAACTTTTAAGTGCATTTCTATATTACTCGTTACTATATTATAAAAAAATAAAAACAATATTATCAAAAACGTTATTTGGAAACAATAGGAAAATAACGTTTTTAAAAACGTTAATCAAAAACAATATGGAAAAAAACGTTAATAAAAAACGTAATGATCAAAACGTTTTCCATCCCTGTTATTTATAATAAATAATAATACATTATTTATGCAATATGTTATAATATCAGTTACGTTATATTATAAGTTAAGATTATATCTTAAAGTGCTAAAAAAATCAATTTCTATACATAACATTAATAACACTAAAATAAACATTAAAAATGCATTTAAACCTCAACAATATCTGAAAAAGTGTATAAGATGAAAATCAAAAAATTATTTTAAATAAAAATACCATAAAAATTTAAAAAATCTAAAAATTAAATAAAACAACATAAAGATTTTAAAATCGAATTCGTGGTACATAATCCAATCTTTGTGTTCAAATAGCTTTATAGTTATGTTATACAATAAAGAGAATGAAATTTCCTTCCAAAGTCAAAAACCTAATGATGTGGTGTTCACTGTTCACTGTTAAAATAATTGATTTTTGATAATTGTGAATTTACATTTTACACACAACACGGCATTTTAATCGGATGGCGGTGGGAAATGGTAATTCCGTAATTCCTTTTTTTTTATATAAATTATATATTTCAGTCTAAGTAGTTGCGGCTTGAATTTCTCCTTACGAATAAATAACTAAAAATAAATTTTATCAAAAATTTTGGTGGAGACGAATTAGATTTAAACGACGGTGAACGTTGAAAATTGAATCCAGCTTGCCCTCAAACACAACGGTGATTAACTCGTTGAGTTTCGCGGACGGAACTAGCTATTGGAAACAACTTTGCACACAACGCGACGTCGCCACAGTGTGACATATGTCGCGAAGTCCTTTTTTTATAACTTTTTATGGATTCCTAACGCGGGCCAACGCGCGAGCGGACCGGTGACGGGGAGGGGGGAATGGTGCCTCGTCTGAGCAGTGCAAACGCGTTCTTTGAGAACACGATCACACACACCCCGCCAGAGACAACACAACCCCTCTCACCACCATCGATCCCGCGACGCGTTAGCGTACAAAGCCATACGGCCGAACTGACGTTTCACCGCCGCACCCAGTCCCCGAAGGTCGTAAGCAGATCACGAGTATATATACTTGCGTTTGCCGAGAAACGTAACATATGAGAGTGCGACCGGCTACAATTCTGTAAACACCGGTTTAACAACACTATACAACGGTGCGCACTCTACCGGTGTAAACGTTGTTCCTCCGCCGTCGGTTTTGCCCATAGACATATTATAGATATATATATATATATATATAATAAAATATTATAGAATATAGACTAATAGACTATAGTTATGTCTAGACTCTAGAGAACCTTTATATATTATAGCCTTTATCTAGGCTTTCTAGTTATGTCTATAGTCCATGGTTTTGTAATCAAACTTAAATCTGAATATTATAAATATTATAATACCATCTTTAAACTGTAGAAGGTAATTATAATATAATATTTAAGGACTACCGACAAAGGTATCAAGACAAACATTTTGGTACCAAACTAGACGCGATACAATAATTTATACTAGAAAAATTTTACTTTAAAAAGTATCATGGTTCAATACTAATCTTACATGTGTTCAATATATTGCCCTTCGGTGGTAGCTGCATTCGATGTGCATAACAGTTGGTGTGTCTACTTCTGGATGTTATGAATATTTCTTGTCAAGGGTAGAATAATAGAGTGTTATCTAAATCCAACTTTAAATCAGCCTGCATCTAAGCCAATATGTATCTTTAAGGTTTTATACGTCATATTTCTAAATAGTAGTTTAAACTAACTCTTGACTACCTACCTACTGCAGTCGGCAATTGTCTTTTTATATAGGTACCTACCCACCCACAATACAAACAAAATTAAAAAATTATAATATAATAGTTCTGTTATTGGAAAAACTTCTGTATGAACTGTATATCAACAGAATAAGTAAATAATAAAATAATTTATGATATACATATACCTACCTGAGATAATTTCTTGTTGTATAATATGTAGTTCACTAGGAAGATAGGTATGGTTGCAAAGCCTAGATGTATAATGAAAGCATTTTGAAAATTTTCAATTCAAAATTTAAAACAGCTCCTGCAATAAAAGAAATGTTAGTTTCAATAATTATGGATGAAATGTACCTAATTGAAAAAAATGTATGTCATATACCTAACTCTAAGATACCAATGACACATTTTCTGGTTTTGAAGATTATATTTTAACTATTTCTGAAATCAGTCATCACAATAACATGGCATTTATAATGATTAAATTCCTCATTTTATTATGGAAACAAATATTAGAATATTTTGTCTCCAGTGTAAACTGGTTGTTCATCTAAAGTAAATTGTGATCAAAAACTAATAGAATGTACCTAGGTTGGTTAAAAATTGTATAATTTATGACCGAGGATCAAATAATATAAAGATGACAAAACGGTTTGAAATGACGATGGAAAATTCATAGTTACTTACTATATAGGTACATATTTCCAACGAGAGCTGTCTATTCGCATTCCTGAGGTCACCCTCGGCAATTTCGTTTAGTGTATCCATATTTGCCTAAAATTGAAATTGGTGCCAGAAATGCACTACTTCTTACCTGATTTTCTTAACTATTTTAAAGATTAGTACTAAAGTCTAAAATGGTAACTAAAATCCAAAAAAATCTAAACAATGCTAAAAAAATACTATCAAGAGTCTAACCATAAGATTGAAATTAAACAAAAACATAATCTAGTATTTAAATATGATTTTAAAAAAAACTATTGATATCCCAACAAAAACACTCGAACAAGGTAGAAATTAAGTACCTAAATGGTCTAATTTGTAAAATATATTATATAATATAATTAAATAAATACTATTATGTATAATATATAATCCAAATTAAATATAAATACATAATTTATATTTATTTAATAGATGAATTATTTAAACTTAAATTAATCCAAATTGGCCGAAGATTCAGCCTAAAATTGTATAGTTGAGTATTATGTGGTATAATAAATACTGTAGACATTGTTAAAATAAATAAATTTGTTTACAACCAAGAAAACTAAATTCAGATTAATTTCAGACTTCAGCTATAATAATTCATATAATAAATAAATATAGGTAAATAATTAATTTCTATTAAATTTGGATTAATTACTCTATATTAAATATATAATTGTACATGCATTAGCCCATTTACTCACATTTTACCTTATTCATGTTTCACATTTTTAGCTATTATTTTAATGTTTTTTTTTTTTTAAGTTGATGGGGAGTTTTTTTTTGGATTGATAATACCCTAATCAACATAAAGGAATATGATGGTTATAATTTATTGCAATATTTGCAATTTGTAGGTATGTTTTTGCTATAAGTACACTTGAATTTACTAAGCATTCCATTACTGCATTATTCAATTTTCCAATTGAAGAATTACTGAAAAAAAGAAAGCAAAAAAGTAGGTATGAAAAAAGATCTGGAAAAATTAATCTACACAATTCGCAAAATGTATACATTTAATCAATGATTAAAATATATCTATGAAAACTGTGAAGATACATTTATTGAGAAGTAGGTTCATAATTGAATGCCACTATGAATAGTTTTATAAAAAGTCCAATGACTGAATGACTCCTCCGTACCATACAAATATTTAAATAATAAGAAGCTAATAAAAATTACATATATACCATATACGATATACCTACCTATATGGCTTTATAATATATTTATTAAATTGTATTTTGTATTAAAGTTCAATTTATTTTGTTTGTAATTTCACAAATATGTGAATATTGTAACTTGTAAGCTACCTGTACTTATTTTGTTGGATATTTTATAGCATAGGTATAGCCTATAGCCAATAGGTACCTATAACCTATATAATTTATATTAATTACATATTAACATATAATAATTAGAAGCAGTTAAGTTAAGGGAGTCGGTGGCTGACAGTTATTTTAGCCATTACATACCAATTTTTATTTTATCATACTGATAAACTTAATAAATAGTAATGCGTTAATACTTTTTAAGACTGATTTGA